ACAGAGCGAGTTCCAAGACAGTCAGGGCTACACAGAGAAACCCTTTCTTGAAAAACCAAAAGAAGAGGTGTGGGTGGGGCAGGCAGAGGGATGGTCAAGAGCACTTACTGCTCTTGCACAGAGGACCCGGGTTCAGTTCTCAGCACCCACATGGCAGCTGACGGGGATCTGTAACCCCAGTTTCAGGTGATCTGATGCCCTTTTCTAGCCTCCCCAGGCATGTGAGCACGTGGTGCAATACATACATGTAAGCAAAACATTCCCAAAACAAAACAAAAGCAACAGTAAAAGGATAGGCCTTAGGGTGGAAGGTAAAGGCCAGAGTGGAGCTTCTGCTTAGCACATCTAAGGCTTTGGTTCAACTTCCAGCACTGTACTAGAGGGAGCGGTATGTTAAAAAAGAAAAAAAAAAAAAAAAAACCCTGCAAAGTAGATGGAATTTTCTTTGGGTCACCAGCTCACAAAAAAAAAAAAAAAAAGACACGAGACTTGTTATTAATTATGAAAGCTTGGCCTATAGCTTAGGCTTGTTCCACTAGCTCTTAAAACTTAAAATAAAATACTCCATTATTAATCCTATCTTGGAAAGTCCAAAGTTTTGTACCTAATTTACCTACTATCATAACTAAGGAAAACTGCAACAGTAACTATCTAGTCTTCAACTCCACCAAAGACTACAGATGGATACAATGTTACCAGAGTAAACAGCAAGTGCAGAGTAAGCAACTTCCAAAACTAAGAAACAACAGAGACATCTGACTGCATGGACAGTCACCCAAGGTTCTTCTGTAATGTTGGGGCATCCATCTTCAGCCTTTGGGCCTAAAATATCTGACAGACTTTTCCATGAAGCAGGAATTTTGAAGGACTGTGCTGTCTTGTCTTAGCAAAGTTCAGCAGTCAACTTCTTTTGTGTCCTGCTTGTTCAATTTGGACAGCAAACTGTTAACAATTGAGGCAAGGGCAGTTTCTTGCTCAAATGGCTAACTTTTGCCACAAAGAAAGCAAAATCCATATGGAGCTTCTTTGATGTCCACCATCCTTTTTTGAAGTAAAATGATGTTTCACTATCATGGAAAGCCTTATGCTATTAAAACATTTTAAATGCCATATTCTGTAAGTCTTTGAAGTGTTTGAAGACTATCTGTCTATCTAAAATACATCACTGTTTGACTTTGAAAACATACATAACATGACAAGTTTGATTGTTAAAGGTGGTTAACTACTAACCTGCATTTCTTTATTATCCTAAATAGCTTATAATAACATCTTTCAAGGACTAGAAATTCACATTACATTGCAAAATGAGCTACATAGGTACAATATCTTAAGCAAGAATAAAAATATATGTGCAGTATGTTTTAACAAAAATAATCTTAAATTTGCATCAATATACAAAATTCTATACCAGTATTTGAGACTAGTGGTTATTCAAAAATAGACTCAACAATCCACTCTTTTATCCCATCATTTCTATACTATATGCCCCCTTTTTCCTTTTAGAAAGAGATCCTTGAATCTAATCTCTTTTGTTTAGTTTTCTCCCTGACCATGACCAATGACAATTTATAACCACCCCCCCACACACACACAAATGATGACAAACATTCATAACCCACCAAAAACAACCCATGTTGACTCTTGGAAATGTGGGCATTGTGTTTTCTAGACTTCTTCCTGTTGACTTGCGCAATGACATCTTTAGGGGATCCTGAGAAAATTGGGATAATGGTCAAGTCCTGGGAGAGCTAGCCATAACATTTGTTGTCCAGTCTGTGTGATGGGAAAGCACAAGGCTTATCTGCAGTCCTGGTTAGAATAGTCTGTGAGGCTGAACCATTTCAGCAAGCAGCCTTGGAGCTGTTCTGAATGCAGAACTCTGAGAAAACTGCAACAAAGGCATTCTGAGAGGTTGAATCACCTGTACCACCTATTTTCATTGGTGTCTGATCTCCTTGCCCCGAAAACACACAAACTTTCAAAAGTAACATACACATCTGCATTAATACATGTATGGACTGTGTGTGGTACAAAGGTCAGCCAAAGATGATTATTTTGTTTTATGTTAGAGCAGGTAAAATAAACTTCAACTGTCTTATAGTTTGTCTAGGTTTAATTTATTTTTCTAAATTTGTAGACAGGGTATTCAGGGGGTCTTCCCTGATTAAATCTGATCTTTATTAATTTTGAAGGAATTCATACCTTTTAGCTTCCTGTGAAAACAAAAGCATAACCTCTCCTCCAATGAACATATTTCATGACTTCCATTCTGAAGTCAAGACATCTCTAAAGTATATAGACTGGTTTAATTTAGCAGTCCCTTTCATAATCCAATGACTCCTAGCAGTTCCAGTCTCTGCTCATTAGCATTTAAAAAATTCAAAATTAGTAAAGCACCCTGTAGTGGCATTTCAAATGTATTTTAATAATTAAAGACTACCTGAAGATCTGAGAGTAAAACAGTCCCACAGGTCAGCCTTATAGACCAGGATATAGTAACACACACCTTTAATCCCAGTAGCCACAGTGGCACGCACCTTTAATCCCAGTGGCGCACGCCTTTAATCCCACCCCTAGAAAGGAATATAAAAAGGCAGGTGGGGGAGGGGAGACAGCTCTCAGACACAGTCTCATTCTGAGATTCCAGGAGGCAGGATCTCCATTTAGACTGAGGTAGAGGTAAGAGCCAGTGGCTGACTGCTTTGCTTTTCAGATCTTCAGACCGAACCCGGATTTCTGGCCCTGAGTTTTTATTAATCGTGCTTCAGCACTCTGTGTTATGTTTTTCATGCTTACATGGCTTTTACTTTGTATCATTTTATTTTCTCTTTAAATACTTTATTTTATTATTGTTAAACTATTTTTTCTATGACTGTCTATATCCATTTTCTTTTCTTTCTTCAGTATCTTTTTCTTTTTTTTTGGTTTTCTTTTTAGAGTTTTGTGTGTGTATGTGTGTGTGTCTGGACCTGACTTTACTAAGTATCTGTAGCACTTTCTGACCAGATGAGACAAATCTTAAACTGTTATGTCAGCTGTCCCACGGCTCAGCTTAGTGTGTGGCACTGGCAGCTGGCTCCAGCCCGCAGGCAGCAGCCCATAACCAAGTCTCTGTATGCTGCCAAGCCTACTCAAGAGATAGTAGTCACTAGGAAGCTGCATTTGACTCCATGTTCCAAACTTTTTTCTTATGCTTTCTCGGGCCTTATGTGGAAATACATGGCTTCACATTGGGTGCCATTTGTAGACAGAATTTTCTTTAGGCCACCAGCTCACAAAAAAAAAAAAAAAAAAAAAAAAAAAAAAACCAACAAACCAAAATGGAGACTTATTGTTAATTATGAAAGTTTGACCTACGCTCTTATAATTTAAATTAATCCATTTGTATTAATCTATGTTTTTGCCTCATGGCTTTTTATCTCTCTTCCATCTTGTACTTCCTGTTTCCTCTCCATGTCCTCTGGCATCTCCTCACACCTAGATTCAACAACTCCTCTTCTCCTTCTTCCCAGAAGTCCCGCCTAACCTCTCCCTGCCTCGTTATTGACCATTCAGTTCTTTATTAAAGCAATCAGAAGGCTGCTTGACAAAGCCACATCTTCATAGTGTACAAAAAGATTAGCCCATGACACCACCAGGTGGTGGCGGTGGCCACCATATACACCTTTAATCCCAGCACTCAGAAGGCAGAGACAAGTGGATCTGTGAATTCTTGTCTGGCCTGGTCTACAGAGCAAGTTCCAGGACAGCCAAGGCTACACAGAGAAACCTTGTTTCAAGAACCAAGAAAAAAAAAAGTTTAACTAAAGCTCCCTGCCTAGAGGATTATTAAGAGAATGATTGATAGTGCAGAGGAGTGACAATGGGTGCAGAAGCCATGATGACTATGGCATGCACTTTGCCATCCCTCACCAAGGTGCTGTCCCCAGCCCTAGCACTGAGAGTTTCTGGGAATTGGAGAGAGGGGGTGAGCTGCCAATCAAGAAGCACTGAGCTGTGTGTGGTGGTGCAGGCCAGTAGTAATTCTAGCAACCAGCAGGCAAGAGGCAGTAGGATGAGGAAGTTTGAGGCCGTGCCTGAGCTACATAAAGAAACATTGTTTGGAAAGAAAAGAAGTGGCCACACCAAGATTAGGAGTTCAGCACTGTCCTCAGCTACACACTGAGCCTGAGGTCAGCCTGTCTTATCTAAGACATTGGCTCAAACTGCAACAAAGTAACTCTTCTTTGAGAAAGCCCACTCCAGGACTCTGGGCTGTGCTGCTTTCTTTCCCAGCGCCCCTCTTTCTCTTAATTCTTGGGCTTAAAGTTGATATTAAAATATCTTGGGGTTTGGAGCGCTTGCTCTGCAATGAAGAGCACTAGCTGCTCTTCCAGATGACCCACGTGGTGGCTCACAGCCATATTGTCACTCCAGTCCCTGGAAAGCTGACACTCTCCTGGCCTCCTGGACACCAGCATATATATGACAGGGCAGTGAGAAGGCTCAACAGGTACTTTGTGCTAAGCCTGATGACCTGAGTTTTATCCCCACATTGTGGAAGGAGAGAAGTGACTTTCATAATTTGAAGGACTTTCCTTTGTCCTTCAAATAGGTGCCGTGGGTCCATGTGTGAATTTGTAGATGGGTAGATGGAATAACAAAATTATATAAAAAGACTTTTTAAAGGAACACTAACTCTATTTAAAAAAAAAAAAATACCAGCCCCCAGCGGCCGCCGCCTGGACGTTGGGGAGCAGCAGGATTTCACATCAAAAGAAGACAGAACCTTGTGCCTGCCCGCCCAAGCCTCTTGCTGGTGCTTTTAGGGGCCCCAGGTCCGAGATTCTGACCTTCACTGCACGAGTGAGGGTCTCTAGGATTCCCACAGCCCGAGAACCGTCCAGCTGTGTGAATCCCGGGTGCTGTTCGGCCTGAGAGTGAGGACTGGCTGGTTAGCAACAAAACAAGAGCCCTCTGGGGCCTCTGGCAGAGGCCCGAAGCTGGAACCATCAGGGAATATGAGTGAATTTTGGCACAAACTGGGCTGTTGCGTGGCAGAGAAGCCCCAGCCGAAGAAGAGGAGAAGACGGATTGACTGCACCATGATTGGGGAACCAATGAATTTTATCCACTTGACTCACATCGGCTCGGGAGAGATGGGGGCAGGAGATGGGCTTGCCATGACCGGTGCAGTTCAGGAGCAGATGAGATCCAAGGGAAACCGGGACAGACCGTGGAGCAGTTCTAGGGCCTTGTAGCTCCCACAGGCCTGGCTCTGCAGTCTTGGCGTTCCCATTCCGTGTCCAGCCCAGAAGAAATGCTGCCCACACCAGATCCCTTCCACAACCAGTGACCCAAGGGCCCCACCTCTCCCCCCTTCCTAACAAGTGCCTCCAACGACATGGGGGCTGGACTCCCTCTCCTCCCTCTGGCCTCTGTCCCTCCTGGAGATGGGCTCAAGGCAGCAGGACTGACCAAGTGACTACTGGTGGGCCAGAGGAGTCAGCTGAAGCCCTGGGCACCCTAGATCTGAGCTGGGGGTTCTCTGGGAACCTGGAATGAGTTCCCTGCTCCTGAATGAAGGTTGGGTGCCACCTGTTTAAACTTCTTGCCTTTACTTTTTTTTTAAAATTATTTATTTATTAAGTATACAATGTACTGCTGGCAAGGACGGCACTAGGTCTCATTACATTACAGATGGTTGTGAGCCACCATGTGGTTGCTGGGAACTGAACTCAGGACCTCTGGAAGAGCAGCCAGTGCTCTTACCCTCCGAGCCATCTCTCCAGCCCTTGCCTTTACTTTTTAAAGGAGGCAGGTAGGTGAGGGGACCACAGCTGCCTCCCTGCCCTCTTTCCGTCTGGAATGAGCACTGCAGAGGCCAAGGGGCGGGGTTACCGCTGCCCAGTACACGCTGGATTTCAGGTGAAAGCTCACAGCCCTCCACGTCTCTGCCCGCACCAGGGTCTTCCTCCAGTTAGGCCTCTAATCCCGTGCTTCTGTAGTATTAATAGCTTCCCAGAAAAATTCTTTTTTTAATTAAAATTTTAATTAAAAAAAATACCAAGAGGTTTGCTTCCTGAAGCAAACAGGCCCATGAGGAGAAACTGTTTGTTTTGCCTCCTGAAGCCATACCTATTGGTTATGGTTCTTGGAAGTTGAACCAGAGGTCAACAGATGCACCCTGCCGGAAGCTTGAAGTGCCCCAGGCCCTGGGCAAGGCCTCTTGATCTTTCCAGACACCATTAGAGAGGAAAGCTAGGCAGAGCTGACGCCAGGTGCCCAGAACTGCAGGAGCATCTCCGAAGCAAGGGTCAGCTAGTGAAAGTGTCCTGCCAGCCACCAGAAAAGCTTTTAAAATGAAATCAAAAGCCATTGCCAATTAGAACCAAGTCATGAACTAACACTGACCTTTGTCCTTTTCTTTCTGGTATCTGATGCAAGGTAGGTGAACTAGCTAACTCAGCAGGCAGCACTGTTGGCTACCGGACTTGAGATCGATCCCTAAGCACAGATAAAACCAACTCCCACAATTTGTCCTCTGACCTCCACATTCACAACATGGTACATACATCCTAAATGTAATTTATTCATTCTTTAGTTATTAATTTAATTAATTAATCTATTTATTTATTTATTTTTGTGGCAGGGTCATGCTATGTAACACTGGCTATCCTGGGAACTCTCTATGTAAACCAGGCTGGCCTTGAACTCACAGAAATCCACCTGCCTCTGCTTCCCAAATGCTAGGATTAAAGCTCTGTGCCACCACATCCAGCATACATATGATTGTTTTGGTCAGGGGTTGGTTTTTAACAGGGTTTCTCTGTGTAGCCCTGACTGTCCTGGAAAGGCCAGCCTCAAACTTATAGAGCTTCATATTCAGAGATCCTCCTGCCTCTGCCTCCCAAGTGCTGAGATTAAAGGTGTGTGTCAACACTGCTTGACTTGTTTTGTTTTGTTTTTTTAAATAGGAAAAACATAGGGTGGGGGAGATGGCTCACTGGTTAAGAGCAAGTACTGCTAGAACAGAATTTGGTTCCCAGCACCTACATCAGGCAGCTCATAACTACCTGTTATTCCAGGTCCAGTAAACCCAGCATCCTCTTCAGGCTGCAAAGGGAACCTGCACTCACACCACAAACCTTCCCCTTAGGCATAATTAAAAATAACATATCAAAAAATGTAAATGATCAGTAAGACTAAAACAACCAAATGGGCCAAGCATGGCAGCTCATGCCTGGAACCTCAGGGCCGGAGGATCTGGTGTTGAAGATCATCCTTAACTACATAGTGAATCTGAGGCTAGCCTGTGCTACATGAGAGCCCACCTCAATGAAACAAAACCCAGGACATTATCTGCCCATAAACTGACTAGTGCTGTTGTGTTGTCAGCTTAGGCCACAGCTTCGGTCAATAGTGAGAGCTGAGATCTACTATTGGTCAAAGTACAGAGACTAAATGACTGCTGAATGCCTGTCCATAGATATCTAATCTATAGACATCTATACCCTCCATTCCAAGGTTCAGGGAGCATCTCAGATGAAGAGGTGTAAAGAATTAAGAGCTGAGGGAAGGTAGAGAAGATGTACCAAATACTGAATTTTCTGAGAAGCTGTGATTACCATTACACAATTTAGTTGAGATTGGGTTTGTCAACACCCTGTCATGGGAGGAGAACATCTCACCCCAGGAGATTTACATAAAAATAAGTTGATGGGGGAGGGGGGTTTAGCCACTGATAAAATGTCCATGATCCTGTAAAAGTCACACTTCTGCTCCTGTAAACAAGCTTAATGTAACACACACACACACACACACACACACACACACACACACACACCATGAAACTAGAAAGGGGACTCACTGGGAGCAGAAAGAGAATAAGAGAAAATAAAGAATGTATATTATTTCATACATTATGCACATGCATGACAATGCCATAAAGAAACCCATTTTTGGCAAAGACAAATAATCTACCACAACAAATAAGAAAATAATATGAATGGAAGAGTCACAGGAGCCATGGACAGCAAATATTCCACAAGACAAACAAAAGCACTGATAGCAATGGGCATGTAAATTTAAAACCATAGCAGAGTGGCCCAGGAAGTGCTTCAAAGTCTGACCACTCTAAGTATTGGCAGTAACATAGGAAAACAACAAGATTTGGATAACCATCCAAAACAGCAAGACTGCTGGGAGTCACAAGAGCACGGATCTTCCAGGGCAGTACCCTGAAAGGCTGCAGCATCAGCTTCCTCACTCGGCAACCCTACTGTTGCACACCAGGTAGAGGGAAAGCCAAGAATCCAGACCCCCAGGCACCAGCGCGAGCAGACATTTGCTGTTGAGAGAACTAAAGAGCTAGTTTTGTTCACAAGTATAACATGTATCCTGTATGAATAAAAAGAAAGAAAAAAGAAAAAAAGTTCACATTTTACAGGGCTAACAAACGTAGGTTGTATACACCAAATGATACACTATAAACCAGGTAATGGCGAAGCTCTGTGTCAGAGAGTGCTTAGGATACACAAAACACAGCATTCAGTCTCGGTATAAAGAAACAAAGTAATAGACACGATCTGATACAACCTAATTAGATTTATGACAGGGAAGGTATACAGGAGACATCAGGGCGGAAGGTATGGCTCAGCAGTTCAGAGCTCTGGCTGCTTTTCCAGAGGACCAGGGTTGGATTCCCAGCACCCACATGGCCGCATACAATCCTTGACTCAAATCCTCTGTAATTCCAGTTCCAGGGAATCTGACTCCCTCTTCTGATCTCCATGGCACTGCACGTACATGCCATACATGCAGGCAGAACACCCACACACGAAATAAAAACTTTGAGTCTGGAGAGGGGACTTCAGTTTTATCTGTAATGGTTTGTTTCTTCCACGGATAACTTCCTAAAATTAAGTATGGCTGTGTTTTATTTCTGAGTGATGGCGACACAGGTGTTTGCTAGTCTGTCATGTGTTATGTTATGTCTTGCCTATTTCTCATTTGAAATTTTGTTTCACCTTTTTCTGAAAATTTATAAAAAAAAAAAAACCTGATCACATTTATTTGCTTAGAGAATGTGTGCATGTGTGTGTGAGTGCACACGCAAGAGCATGCCATGGCATATGTGTGGAGGTCAAAGGACAATTGTTTGAAGTTTGTTCTCTCCTACCATGTAGGTCCTGGGGATTAAATTATCAGGTTTAGTGTCAAATGCCTTTCCCCCACTAGCAATCTTCCCTAATTTATATATATTAAACGAAGTGTTCTGCGTTATGTAGCCCAGGCTAACCCAAAAACCCAAAATGTTGCTGAGATTGTCATTAGATAATCTTCCCTCCACACCCCAAGAGCTTAAATGGCAAGCTTATGCCACCATATGTGGATTTTTATGATCTGAATATAATGAAGAGGAACAAAGGAAAGTGTGCCAGACACGATATAATCACTTATTGTTCCAATTACTTGGAAGCTAAGGTTGGAGGATCAGTTAAGCCCAGGACTATGGAACCAACCTGGGCTAGCAAAACTCTATCTCCTCAAAAAAAAAAAAAAAAAAGGTGCTAGGGGCTAGAGAGATAGCTCAGTGGTTGTTCTTCCAGAGGACCCAATTCAGTTCATAGCACCCACATCAATCCACTCACAATCAACAGTCACTCTAGCTCCAGGGGACCCAACACCTTCTTTTGGCTTCTACAGACACACACACATGTGCCATAAATACACACAGGTGCATATAAATCAAATCAAATAAGTAAAATCTAAAAAAAAAAATACTAAGACTAAAGCAAGGTAGAGCAGCTCCCGCCTGTGATTCCTGTGCTCACAGGCTAAGGGAGAAGGATTACTGTGAGTTTGAGGCTAACCTGGGCTCCATAATAATTTCCAGCTCAGCCTGGGCTAGTCAGATTCTGCCTCAAAAATAGAAAAAAGTCTAGAGCGTGAATGCCTCCTTCTTAAGTAGGGTACCTAAAATAATCACATGATGGGGAGACTTGCTGGCACAAACAGGGGACTCAAAATCAGGCTCTTTTCTCCCATCTTCCTTGCATACCACCCCGAGATTTACTGTCCCAAGATATCACTCCCTCAGGTATCTGTCACCAGCCATTAGCATCCTCGAGGATTTGCTGTTCTAAGTTTTAGACACAGGTGCAGTGATTGACCATCTAGTTGCCTTGGTTGGCAGAAAGAACAACCCCCGACACTGGGTTTGAACCTGCAAACCCGGTGTTTTATAATCATCCTGCCTCCACATCCCGTGT